CGCTGTATGTAAACTTTAAAAACTTCAATAACACACGATAAAAAGAATTTCCGTGTTAACATATGTTTACGCAAGAAGAATGACGTCATTTAAATCGCTGTAGTGCACATTTATTTGTGTGCCATTAAGACCGGTTTTATCGCGTCGTGCGTCCGTGCTGTTCTACAGAAATTTGAAATTTCGACGGGAGCGATAGCGACAGGAGAATGTTAGAACACTTACATATTTAGTGTCAAGCTTTATTTGACCCTTGATTACGTCACTACGCGGTTTTATGAAACACTATTGTCTATGAAAAATAGAAGGCGACTATGAACGGATTTCAATATATACTTAAGGACAATGAAAACGCACGGTCGGGATAATTGCATTTTAACAAGGAAAATAAATTTCTTTTAAATATTTGTTCACAGTTTCATAAAAACGAATGCATTCCGGTTATTTCGATACCAAAGTTATAAAAAATGATTGCATTTTAATGAAGTTATTGCATAATAAAGACAGTACCCGAAAAATCAAAAGTAACACTTTTGGCTAATTGTGATAAAACAAATTGGACCAATTTATGGTTACTTTATGAAATTAAATAATTATTATTTTTTTAAACTGTTAATTATTAACTTTTTTTCTTTCTAGAAATGTTAGAAACAAATGAGCAATTAAAATCTTTATGAAAATGAATATTAAACTATGCCAATGGTCAGTTTTAGAAATTGTAAAAGCTCACATAGAAATTGCATATACACACTTTTCCTCTGTATAAGGTGCTAAATTTCAAACACTACTGAAGACTTGGCAATGGATCTTCAAAGAAATAACCGCTGGGTAGATTTAACACATATTCAGTCTTGTCTATCTTACAAACAAAGCGCAAACCGTTTTGGTGTCCATCGGTCTACAATTTCTCTGTTTCACCAGCGTTTTCGCCGAATGGCGTCAGATTCCACAGGCGGCTATCCGCACCGTAAGGTCTATGAGGCGACGATGTACATCTGTAAGAGACGCTGATGGAGGATATTGTCGTTTCTAAAGATCCCGACGGTGACATTACGAATAAACATTAATGAGTGACTTTGTTTTTGATTTTCATTTCGGTTTTTGCCTTTGTGAGGTTTGCATTACTGTCATGAAAAAGTGTGATTTTGGGATTTTCACCTTAGGTTCTTCAATTTACTGGTGTACATTTAATTTATAACCTTTTGAATTATTTTCAGTTGTTAAGTTTGCGTTTTGTATTAAAGTAATGATATATATCTAATGGAGTCGTTAGTGTTTTGTTTTCATGTAATAAAATGCATATAGTGCGGGCGTGCGTTTTCATTGTCCTTAAGTATAGTATCGACTTTTTTTCTTCTATGAACATTAACACACATAATTTTTAAGAAATACAGCGTTTTCATTGGATGACAAATAAAGCTGTCAAATTACAAGTTCATTTATTTCAGATACCACCACAATATTTACTAAAAATCACTCAAGGGGACATAATTAATACAATTCTGAATATGGAGTTGTGTCCCTAAGGGTCTGGTGCAATATTGATATTCTATCAGGACACACACGAGATTTACATTGTAGTTAATATTTAGATACAATATTTTAATGTCAAAAACCATTTTTCAGTACGAATTCTGTTGGACGGCAAAACCTATGTTGGACGATGCGTTCACCCAATGTAAGTTTGTTTTGTTGCCTATTAATACGTCATGGTCACATCAATAGGATACTTAATTACTGAATCATTAACACATAGGGATATATTGATATTATTGCTGTTCTGTTCTGTTCTGCTGCCATACCGTACATATACCTCCTTAATTAATGGTCTTATATCGTCAGTTTTTTGTGTGTTATAATTACGGTTTCAGAACGCAGAACTGATTTATAAAAAACGTCTGTTATAGGTTTGTTTTATGTGCAAATACAAGCACACGTACTTATAAAAGTGACTTTAGTCCTATTTTAAATACACTGTTCGAGTTGCCTGTTTTTCTAGCAAGAGACAGTCCAGGACCTACATCGCAAGTAAGCACCAAGAATGAGTGAAACGCTTCCTTCTGTAGAAAAGCCAACATGTGTTTTATAATGTTGTAATGATTCATTAAAAACATGCGAGATGCTTATCATTTGAAGAAAATATTATTGAATGTGAAATAATTTGAGATCAATATCTAAACAAAATTAGTTTGATCCCATATAAAATACGTAAGTGTTTGCCAGAATGCATTAAGAAACAGAGGATGGTTCTGCTATACAGCTAATGGGTAATGGAATAGAAACTGTAATATGACACAGAAGATACATTTGTAAAATAAGAATGATAAAATTAAATAGGCTTTAATGAGCCGGTAGATATGAATCACAAAATGTGTAAAATTCACAGAGTTTTCAATCCAAAATAAAATAATTTACAAACAAGAAAACACTTATTTGAATTTGAACTCTGTATTAATATTAATTACGCTTCTAGAAAAGGGAAAATCCATTGAAAGTAATAAAAAATATCAAAAAAGAGAACTCAACGGATGAATATTACAGACTCTGTTTCCACGAGTCTGTTTATATTAACATAATGAACTTCCCTCAGGCATGGAACCTCTTGTGGCTGAGGGGTTGCCTATAGAGCTGTTGCATCAGAAATGCAGTCCTCGTTTATCCCTGCGTGATCATAAGATGCGACTAGATGGGTTCGAATACTGAAGTATATGCATCTCTTAGCTCCAGCAGATGAGATTGTTTAGACCTCTGGTTTTGCTCTAAGTTTGTAGCACCGAGGTTATCCAAAATAATCTTTCCTGATTCGGCGCCATATGGCCTAAATTATGTATGTGCGCCGTAAAATCATACATTACTGAGTATGGACATAAGCGTTATTTAATCCTTAATACACATTTAATACCACGGTGAACCATCAAAATATATTCTGATGAACTACAAGGTAACTTAGATAATGAAATACAAGGTAACTTAGATTAGATATACCATTAACTTTAATACTCCCTGGCCCTCTAAGGGGCGACTGTGCACCAGACGCGCTCTGTGCAGCAAGATACGCTAGCGACACTACAGAATACACACACACACACACACACACACACACACACGCACACGCACATACACACTCACGCACGCACGCACGCACACACACACACATACAAAACCTACAAACACATATATATTTATATAAATAAACAAAATAAAACAGTTCATATTTTGTCATTTCTTTTTTATTTCTACAATTAAAAGACAGAGATGAAAAGCGAACATATGATAAAAACTTGCAATTACGAAAGTCTATAGTCTATTATATGCTTATTTATACTATTTATAAAATGTGTATCAGCGGTTTGAACTCATTTGATATAAAAATAGCACATGTTTTCAGGGTAACAGCCCGAGAACTCCGCCTCGGGTGTTATTACAGTTCAAGGGTTGCTAATTTGCACTTTTACCTTGAGAGACATGTGTTATTTTGTTTCATTATACCGAATCACACCGCTGTGCTCTACTCCGAGAGCCATTCATCATTGATTTTTATAAGGGGAGAGAACTACGTTTTCTTAAGTCTATATAGATTGCTTGCTCCTGGGATTATTGACCGGGTGATATTCATTTCCAGGAATGTGACGTTCCATTAAGCTTTATAGTAAAAAGTATAATTGAGGTATAATAATAAAAATTATCACTGAAACTAACCAGAAAGTTATCATTGAATGCATAACCTAATTTACATAGAGACGGAGCAAATGTTGATGAAACTGATTAAAAACAAAATTACTGTTTTAATTCAACACATTAAATAAAGCTGCAAATTGGAAGGTGAATGTTTCGAAATAGTGCAAAGTGCAAAAAGACTGTAAAATTGATACATCTAACACGACGGCACAGACTGTAAACAGATTCAGCAAACTATTTGGATAAAGAAAAAGTCACTTACATTATTTAAGTTTGTAGCTACATTGCAATTAAAAGAAATAAATTCAATTCCATTTATGTTTAGAGATGCTTTAATTATAATTTAAAATACTACTGACAAGTATTCAAAGTACTCAAAAATACGCGAGAAGGCTAGTTTTAGAATTAGCTTGTCAGACATACAGATAGTAGCCATGCAAAAATCGTTCAGTCTTACAATACAATTTTATAACCTTATTTTTTTTATTTATTTTTTTTTCATCTAGTAACAATTTATTCAAGACATGATCAACTTTCCTTTACTTGTTTGATATACTTAAATGCCATCGAACTTAAATGCTATGTGTAAAAGTGTAAGTGGTATCTTTACTTGCGTACAAAATATTAAATTCTTATAACAATACATAATACAGAAAAGCAAATTAGTTATAATGAATACTTGTTCTTTTAAAAAAAACTAACAGGACATCAAAATTCAAAAGCTTTTAAGATATAAAAATACATGTAATAGCACTTTAAAGGTAAATGGGCCTTTTATTCAATATAATTTTTTAAATGTGATTTGTTGTTGTTGTTGATGTTGTTTTAATTAAGAAGGCCGCATTGTTAATAAGATGTTACAATCTGTATTTGTCTAAATGTCTTACCTTCTGTAAATAAAGTTATTATTATTATTATTATTATTATTATTATTATTATTATTATTATTATTATTATTATTATTATTATCATAAGCAAAATCTTTATTTGAAAATACCAAATAAGCTATATTTAGTGACTATTGAAACAGAGTAGTAGATAATCAAACAGGCTATCTGTTAAAAAATCTGATCTCAATGAATATTACATGCCAAAACTATGTACATCAACTATAATAGGAAGCGACTCATTTTAAAATATTGAAAAGTGACAATCATTTATGATGTTTAGTTTCCTTATCGTTAATTTAAATTAGTGTTTACAAAACTGATAATATAAGATAAGATAAGATGTAAGCAAGATTATGTTTGGAATTGCTATATATAATTCACAAGATAATCTTGTTTTCTTTGCATGTCCATTTAACAAGAAATGATTATAACAAAATACGCATTTGTGATTCCTGCAGACAGTTCATCCGATTTTCGTCACCCGGCTTCAAATTTGTTAGGTTTCCCCAGATAAATGTCATTATCCCGTTGTCGTTTCCTGTTTTCATAGGGGTCATATTTCGTACAGATGGAGTTGACTGACAAAGGTCCGTTAGCACATAACAGCATCTTCGTATTTCTAAATTGCTCGGGAGATATAGGATAAAGAATGTTCCAAGGTTCTCCATTAAATGTCCAAGATGCATGCGACAAGTTCATTGGATCTGAAGGCTTCCCAAATCCAGTTGCTAATTCCATTGCTGTTTTTGTGCAGAATTTTATCACAAGCTTGTGATAAAATTCAAACGGACAGACATCGCAATCATGTGAAATTGCATTTTCAGTCCAATTATAAAAATCCGTCAAATATCTATTGCGAGTGGTTTGTGCCCTAAGATCAGATTTGATCTTGTAAATGGCTGAATGTACCATATTGTTTACGAAATACGCAATTATTTCTTCGCTGCTGCTGCTTGATGAGATACCCATGGAGCTTACACAACAGCCTGACAAATGCGATTCAACCAGGCACGAAAACATTAATTCCTGAAAAGGTACAGCACGATTTCTGTCCTTGACATCTTTAATGGCCGTCAATTTGGCATTTTTTACATTTTGAAACAACTGTGCACGGGCTGAATCAATGTTATTTACCGCTAACATCTCGTTTGTCCGTGTCGTGCTTGAACGTCTGAATACCTCTGTGTACCCGATAACAGTTATCCTACATGATATATCACCCCTATTGCTATAAATTAGAATTTCATTGGAACACGAGTACGGAGTGCCATTTATGTCAGCACATGGGATAAAAAAGGAGTATAAGTACACCTGACAATTTTTGTCCGTTCCGAAATTTTCCATAAGTTTCTCTATAAAACCTTCCCTTAACAATATATATTCTCCATGCCACGGATGGTTTCTATATTTTTCGTCATTATTCCAACGACTTCTCTTCCAAATTTCTTCACTTTTTCTGTTTAGAAATACCCCACTAGTAGAGCACATTATCATTTGTTTATCTTGATCTGGACCTTCATTTGGACATCCTTTTAGCAATCTGCCTGGCATCTTATGTGGTGTATTCAAGTCGTCATCAGACAATAGAGCTGCGACTAAGTATTGTCCCCGATTCTTTCCTGTCAAAGTTTTGAAAATTTCTTTTCCCCAATCTTGCATATGACTGAGAATTACTCTTGTATCGGAACAGGATATTACTTTAAAAATTGTTAAAAATACCAAACATTTCAAAACTAACCTCATTTTTTTCAAACTCAAAAATGATAACAAATTTGCAATACAAAGTTCGAATATTTAGTTAATCAAGGGCGGATAATCCAGACTGTGTTTTTGAGGTCCTTGACGAGATGATTTCCCTTTGTTTGCTGAAAATGAAGAAACAACTTGTAAACGCATTATTAGACAAGATAAGAAAAGAGACAGGGAGGCGCAACAAATTATATTTTATCAAAAAGTGTTATGTTCTCAAAATAACATCACCGAATAAGCTCTTTTCACGTCATGCAATCGGAACATATCGTCTAAGAATCATAAAATCTCGGACTTAAAACGGAAAATGGTTCTTTCATGTGGTTTATTAAGATGTTAACAACAACGGAGGGTGGAATCTTTGTATAACGTTAAACAAATGTACATTGTATATATTTGACATTCAAAAGAAATAAATTTTATTATGAAAATATATGTACGTATGTATGACAATCATTTTCAATTATAACCAAGTTCTAGCTTATGTTAACAGTTTCTATTTCTACAGCTATTATACTATAAAAGGTATAGAAATAATGTGCGGTCTCATTTAATATTTATAATTTAACTTCATTTAGGTGCACTTTTGCGTGATTTACTTGAATAATCTTAGTCAACAACTCTTAACTTTTACTTTTTACAGGTTTAGTTTAGACCGAAATACCGTACCCGAAATCAATCGCAACTTTTCGACCCTTTCGTCAGTCTTCGGATAAGGACCCCGAGCACATAAGTAAGAATACATAAAACGGATACGGTATTTTGGTGAAACCTACGCTCAGAAACTAAACATGTTCACAAATAGTAATGTAATGACTGTTTCTTTTCACAATATATCAAGTAAAAGTCCGCCTAATATAAGTATAATTATATTCATAGACATAAATGTAAACAGTACATTATTTATATTCATATTATTATACATATATTTATATTATGGTCAGACATATTTTTAATCACAATTGTACCGAAACGAACTTTATTTTCCTTCGAATGTAAAATACTTTCATTCGTTTTTCATTATCAGAGATAACAGACTCTGTTTCTGTTTAAATTTAAATTTATATTAACCCCGAGGTAACGTAGTTTGAAAAATAGACAAGGACGTTCCGGGTGATGAAAGACCCGAGAAGTTGCAATTGCAAAGACTGTTCACTAAATATATAAATAAAATCCCTAAAGTACGCAAAAATTGTTCTAAACAAAGTAAAATCGTTTGAATAATTGTAAAAATAGCAAAGGGGAATAAATCTGTCAAAAATAATCTAATTACAAAAGCAGGAAAATGCGCGCGAAAAGCTCTCGGTCATTATACTTCTGTGAATTTCTATTGGAATTGGAAAAGTACTGTTTATCTCCACTTTATGTGTGAAAAGAAAACAAATCCCATAAAAAGATCCATATTTCAACGTCACTTTACATTAACTTTACTCGATATACAATTGTCTTAATTTTAAAAGTGAATTGGTCTATAATTAAATGTTTGTAATACATTAAATAATTACGTTGATAGAACATGTATTTAGAATGAAATAATTATGCATGTATATGGATGGTGTTTGGAAGAGTTAAATACCTTATCAGATATAACATATCTACATATGGCAGATAATAAATTGTTCTAAAACAAAATATGAGTATCCATAATAAAAGACGTTCCTACTAAATCACTCAGAGCTGTATAAACATTTTTCTTTCTCAAAGAAGAAAAAAAACTTACTTGTTTTTATACTTTCTTTTATTCATCAAAACAAACAAAACACAATCCGAAATAGAAACTGAAGTACATACTTATACGTTAAGCAGTACGAAAAGTGGTTACCCTACTTAAACCATTACTTTTTAAAGTAAACAATAAAAATGGTTTTGTATACAGCGGACCACGTCACGAAGATTTCTTCAAGGTTGTGTTACACACAACGAAATATGATAAGAATATAACAGGTTTAAAGCGTGGTCGATATATAATATTTACCCTTCCCATCATGTGTGAAGACATTATGTTAAAAGCGCTTTATAAAAATACATGTTTGTCAAAAACATACAACAAAGTTTTCGTGAAATACTCAGTTAAATTTACACAAAGTGCAGGTTTTACTTGTGTTGTGTTTAGAGCAAAAATATCACAAATAGTCTGTCTTTGTCTGTACGGCTGCAGCTAAAGTGTAACAAAAAATCAAATTTGAGAAAAATACACTAAGAATTTGTGTAAAAAAAGTTAAAGATCTAAATTATTTACATGATTTGTGCGATTTATGCAGAATTTACCTTATTTCTACTGCGTGTCATACGCAGTAATGGTGTAATATAGCATTCTTTTACCGCGCTTTGTCACCATGTGATTTCAGGTGATGGACCTGAATAAAAAACTTTGAAACTTAAAATTAAAATGGGAAGTTAAATATCATGACAGTTTTACATTATTTTCCCAGTGCAATTGTTTGATGGACCAGATCATTGTCATAAATAGTTCATTTGAAAAGACTACATTTTTGACTAACCTCTTATCCCTAAGGTCAGAAAATGCCGAGAAGTCAGTTGGGTAACAGGAAGCTTATAGGTTTACCGGGAAAGTCTTTTTACGACTCACGATAGTAAGCCGCTTTGCTATCAATCCGTATATCAGTACAAATGAGCCGCGTCACGACAAAACCAACATAATGGGTTTGCGACCAGCATGGATCCAGACTAGCCTGCGCATCCGCGCAGTCTGATCAGGATCCATGCTGTTCGCTATCAGTTTCTCTACTTGTTATAGGGTTTGTAAGCGAACAGCATGGGTCCTGATCAGACTGCGCGCATGGAACTAAAACATCTGAAGATGCCAGGACAGAGGTACAGTGCAAATGGCCATAGAAAGGATTCAATGATCAATCACATCGAGAGTAACCTGCACTGTCCTGCCGCCTGATTCCCGGTCCATCGCTCCACCTATTGAGCTAACCGGACGGACCTTAGATAAACTTCTTGATGCAAAATTCCTTCCATATCACGGTGCATATACCATGTGACTTTTATGATCTGTGTGAGGATTTTCAGGTAAGTGGGTTTTGAAATTTTTTGATATGCCTTTTCCTTAACGCAATGATAATGGCACACTCGGTTTAAAGGTCTCAGCTTCAAAACCTCTGATATTACGAAGGTATTGAAGATATAAACTGGTTATGTACATATTTTGAGATTTGACAAGTGACAGTCCAGGGCGATTTATATACTCATTTATTCGCATCTGTAAGTTTTAAAGTTCACCAAACAAGACAAAATATGTATATTTCAATATTTGAATTTAATGTTTGAATTTGCATGTTCCAAATAAAGTTTCAATACACGAAATACCTTGTTCAAGCGCATTTTAGTTGCAAACTTGCAGTTCACGTATTTATGGTTGTAAACTTATTTTTTGTTTCAGTCAAATATTGAACTGCCAAAGGATTCAGCGAAGATCATATTGATTAGCCACAGATATTCTTGAGAACATTATACATGTAAATGCAATTGGGTTTTCTTTCACTTGCTTTTAAAAATGTTTTTAAATGGCGTTGACATTTAGGGGTTTCTTTATTTAGTTGTCAGTTGTTATCATTTATTGGTGCGACCACTCCACCGTAGGGAACGTGTTACAGTATCGCGCTTTCCGGTTACAGTATAGAATTTTCAAGATGGAGGACTATTTGCGGCAAGTTAGGTAGGTGATTTTTTATTTCGGTCCATACTACATGTAGTTTAGTTTTTTTAAAGATGTTTTCGCTTGTAACGAACTAATTCCGGCATCTAGTCATATATTTCCTTAGACCCTGCATCGCAGTATTATCTATATATTGGCTCATAAATTTGCAGATCTGACAGTTTAAAAATTCGAATCGAGAGACGAGCGCATTTTTCTCCCATTCTGACATTATTTAAGCATGCCTATAAAAATTAAACCTGCAAAACATAAGTCCTTTGTGTTTAGAAACGTTTATAAAAGAAATTGACCAGTTGAACCTATTTTCTTGTGCGTCAAACACGTTTGAAAAAATAAACAATGTTACAGTATAGAGCGGGATGAATTTCACAGAGTAACAGTATAGACCAAGTGGCTTTGTGCCGAATTGGTTACAGTTTATACCCAGATTTCGGTTACAGTTTAGACCCCAACATTAACAAAACTGTTGCTTCTGTAGATACTAGTTAAAACGTATATATAATTTTTAGACAATGTTCCGACTTTTGTGCCCTCTCCTGTCTGCTTTTTGTTCGGTGCAAATGCATTCAGTTGGGTGCCATTTAAAAATACTTTAAAAGTAAGGGAAAAAAGCACATTGCGTTTACAATTTTTTCACGTAATATCTGTGGCTTATCAATATGATCTTCGCTGAATCCTTTGGCAGCTTAATATTTGACTGAAAAAAAGTTTGCAACCATAAATACGTGAACTACAATTTTGCAACTAAATGCGCTTAAACAAAATACATGTAGTGTCGTGTATTGAAACTTTATTTGGAACATGCAAATTCAAACATAAGATAGTCATGATTCGGTAGCCATTTTTGTCAAGTTTGCAACCAATGTTCTCGCTTGAACCAAGGGTGCAACCACTTCACGTCCTGTCCCTCGATTATATTTTAATTGTTCTAGTAGAGTTTATTTACCATCAATTGAAAAAGTTTTCTCCGATAGTATGTACAAAATTATTTTAAATGTATCAAATATGTGTTTTTCGTCTGAATATTGTTACAAAAAGTGCTGTTAATAGAATAAAAGACAAAATCACACGTTGTTTTTTAACAATGTTACCTTCCCAATCAATTTTAATCTTATTTCCATTTATGTATACTATCAACTATTGATCATATTTTCGTATTTATACAACGTAAACTGATGATTTGTTTTTATTTAATATTTACATCATGTGTTTTCATTGCTGATTTATTAGTATAAGATATATTTGAATACTTACAATATATCATATAAACTCTTTCCCCTATTAAGTCATCACAATACTGCTAGAAAATATAAAGCACAGGAAATAGAGTCAGAATAAGAATGCGCTGCAATGCACGAATGTGCGTACATATACTGCTTGTTTTAAAGGTGGTCACTCTTAAGTAAATAATATTCGTTGAACTTCTCTGGAATTGTATTAATTTTATATTTGAATGATCTAGATAGCAGGCGTTTTTATACTTAATTTCTTTCTTTTATTTTACATCTCATATTGGCAAATATTACAATATATCTAGAATGTATCTTCAAAAGTTGTATAAAAGTAAGGTTTAAAATTTAGTTCAAGGAAAAGGTTTTACAGGCTGAGACAACCCAATCGGAACTTTTCAATATTCAACAATTATTTTTGTTGTTCTCGCGGGATGTTCCTTCATCCAAAATGTATATATTAATAAGCACAGGGGTTAAGTGCCTTGACTTGATTTGAATTCCGCTTAAAATCGTGCTGGCTATATGGGGATTGGGAAATGCATCTTCCATTATCTCTAAAATACATATTCAATCAAACCAAGTCAGTAAACTTCCCCTTTTAATTTTATTTTTCATGCTCGAAAGATATCCCTTTTTCCAGATTTTCATAAGGAAGACCACCTTTAAAATTCATAAAAAAAATATTTGCTTTCTTCTGTTTTGTCCTCCGAGGTTTGTGCTTAAATGTTTTAAAATGCAGTAAAATTAACACAACCTATATGTCAAAGTCAAGATTAGTTTTAATTGTTGGGAACATATGCTTATTTAGACCTGCAAACACCGGTGTTGGTCATTTAGTACGAATAAATAAATTAATTGCATCGATTCTTCTTGGGTTTTGTTTTGTCTAGCGGTAAGTCAAACATCCAGCGACAAACACACTAAAGGGTAAAGCACTACGGCTGTGACCTCATTAATAAATGTAACAAGCAATTGATTTTATTTATGTTCAACTTGTTTGATGCATATGTTCTACCAATTCTAAACTATAGTTGTGAGGTATTGAGTAACATGCCATCGGACGATTCGGAAATCGTGCCTTTGTAGTTCTGTAAAAGATTGCTTAATGTGAAAATACTATTTTATTGTTTGCAGAAGTAGGTCTTTAAGCTATTTATATATAAAATATTTATTTAATACTTTATAAAAACATTCAGTACACATTTGATGACTGTGTTTACAAATTATATAACAGAATTCGAGATAGCGTGCGACACTATACAACAAAAAAATAGTGCATATTGATCAGAGAGACAATAAGAAATGAGTATATGTTTTTGTGAAATAACTCATGTTTCCAGTCTTCATTGTTCTAAATTCATATCCACTTCAATTTTTAAGTGTAAGTGTTGCTTTAAGTTTGATTTCAAGTATTCGTGGTGGGTTCGAAGTACATTCATTGTATGAAGTCTCACTCCTTGTCTAATCATTTAAGGCGGGTGAAAATATTGTTGACAAAACATAAATATCTTGCATTTATGAGTTAACAAGAGCACTGCATGAGGTGTTAACGCTCGTCCGTTTAAATTATATGCCTAAGAAGGTGCATATCTCCAAAATATTGCTCTCTGAAATGTGCCCCTCGTCTCTTAACTGCATATTGTCATAATAAGCAACTATTCGTATTCCAAGTTTCATGCTGATAGCTTTTAAAATGTTTAAAGTACTACATTTAAGTTTTAGCAAGATGGCGACAACAACAACGTAGATGACGATGCCGCGGCGATCATAATAGCCCGATTTTTTTTCTTGAAGCAGACGAACTGAAAATTGTGAATATAACTATCATGAATATTATTTACATCATTAATACGAGTATGTATCTATCATGTATCCATTATGATAATTCTTGTAAAGATTTGACTATATTTCTAAAGACAACTAAACATTGCATTTGTTGCTTATGCTCTACATTCTTTT